GGAAATACTCAAGAAGCCGGATCACCTGGGAATCCCACGCCAAAGACAGCGCCCACCCGTGCCGGAGCCGGACCCCCGGGCCTGCGCCTCACCCGTGCGGGAGCCGGACCCCCGGGCCTGCGCGGAGTGGATTGCTCTAGGTGCTGGTGTAGGCTGCTAGAACATTTTGTGCTTCTAGATGACTGGTCACAGTGAAGACAAACAACTCTGTAAATGAAAACGGCTTTGTAAGCAGGGAAGTTATATGAGAGCCGCTATATACAGCTGTGCTTACTAGTGAGTCCTTTTGAAAGTATTTTTAGTCACCACTCTGCTATGTTCAAAAAGTGAGCTTTTGCACTTCTGATTTTTTTAACATGAAAGTGTAAAGTAGGGTGAATGAGGTTTGCATTATTAAGGCAAAAGCTAGAGTCTTGACAGAAACATGACATTAAGACTTTTGGGAAGCTATTTTAAAATGTGTGTTTGAATTAGAATCCATTCAAACAAAACATCAAGGCAGTGTAGTGAAGGAAATCTAATTAGAATGTTCCCAGCAACAGACTCACACGCTGTGCACGCGTCGTCATGGGAGAGCAGAACAGGGGGCTTTATTCCGTGGCCCACGCTGGGTGGGTCTCTGGAAGGTTCCAAGGGATTCTTTCAAGCATGCCTTTCTGAGTGTCCCCCTGGGCGCTGGGGAGAGGGTGACCAGGTGAGTGTGTGACTAGGTGGATTCTGCTCAGCTGTTGACACTTGTGTTTGCAAAACAAATGACTAAAATAAGCGGGTGAAAGAAAGCCAGGAATTGCTTAGCTTCAGAAGTTGGAGGGGTTTGGGAGCAGTCAGGTGGCCTTGAAGTACAATATGGAGAACTCCCCAAATTCGCCAGCTTTGGAGCATTAAGGAGGCCCAGGGCAGGGTGGTGTCGAGACCATTGTTAAGGAGGGGTTCAGACAGAAAGCAATGGTGTGGGCATTGGACATATGCGCTTGCCCTCTCTCCCTGCCGTCATCCCCTCCACCCCTGCCCGTCCTCTCAGTCTCTTGGTCTGCGCTGTCTCTGAGGCATCTGAGCCAGGTGTTTCTTGGCTCCCACACCAGCTCCTGCCACAGCGGGCGGTTCCTTTATGCACCAGCAGTTTCCAAGCACTTCCAAGCTTTTGTTTTTCTGTCTCAGGTCTTTTGCTGAAGCCTTCTCAGCTTGCTCAGTCTACAGCCAGGGTGGCTGGGAAGGTGAACCTGGAAGGGCACTCCGCAGCCGTGGGCAGGTGAGCTGTCCCAGCCTCCTGTCCTTCAGAGGCACGGCCTGCACGGTTTCTCGAATGTGGCTGAGCCCCTTGGCCCGCAGTGGGAACCAGCTCAGCATATACCTTTCGTTGTCTTTTCTCTCTCCTCTCTCATTTGCCTGTTTCCTCTGCTAACAGCTCCCACACCCTTGGCTCTGAGACAGCTTCCAAAGTGACAGCTGGTACAGCCTCCCAGGGACAGTGGGGGCGAGGCGAGCCCTGTCTCCACTGTGACAAGCCAGCCCCAGGTTTTACTGGATTTGCTGCTTGTGGTCTGCAGGAGCAGGGATCCCAAGCCTGGATTCCCCTCATTCCTTCTGTGCAGAGCTGTCTCCAGGAACAAAGTTTGCATAGTGTGAGCGTTAGCAAATTTGGGGGGTATCTATCTTTAATATTTCTCTAGTGGTCTGCTGAGTTCAGAGATTACAGAATTTATTCCAGAGTGTGGGTGGTTCATTAGTGACTATTTGCTGTTTGACAGGAAAGAAACTTTGCCTTGCTGTCTCCTTCTTAGAGCTCTCTTCAAATCCCCTTTCCAAAATGATCTTAAAGAATTCAAATCAGAATCTAAAATGGAGGTACCATTAGAATTTAGGCCCATACCCAGATTTGGGGCCCATACCATTTTGAATGGTATTTTCAAAATTTCAGTTTCCATTTGCTCATTATAGGTACATAGAAATGCGAAAATAAATTGCATATCCTACAACCATGCTAAAGCCACCCTAGTAGTTTGGTAGATTGGGTGGGGTTTTGTGCACACACAGTCATCATCTGTGAACCCGTATTCTTATTTAGAGCATAGAGATAATACCGTTCTAGTCTCTTGGGGTGGGAAAGTTAGAGCCTTTCTGTTGTTACGTTATCACTGACTAGAGACCTCCGATGCCAAAGAATTTAAAACACACTGAGGAGGTCTGTTCTGTTGTGGAATAGTTGCCATTGTTAGGAATCTTGTTCATATTTGGGCTGAGCATGTGGGTTCTGTGTGGCAGCTGAGCATGTGGGTTCTGTGTGGGAGCTGAGCGTGTCGGTTCTGTGTGGGAGCTGAGCGTGTGGGTTCTGTGTGGCAGCCACCCAAAGACTTCGAGGCGTCTGGAAAGTCCTCCTGGGCGCCTCCTGCAGGGTGAGCAGTTTCCCTGGGGACTCCTCGCATGCGGGCACCTGATGACTGTCTGAATGACCTGTGTAGAACCCAGCACTGGGAAAGGAACCATGATCTGACCAGAATTGCTTCTAGTAGAATATGAAGTAGTGATTTTTGAAAAGTCAGAGTGACCACAAGCTGAATGGGAGGTTTAGACAGGGAACCATAAGAAGTGTTTCTTTGAGACAGGTCTTAAAACACACGGCCTTTCCCCCATGCATGTACTTTGTTGCTGAAAGATAAAGAAAAAACAAAAACCGAAGGGACAAATGGATGCCGCTGATTATTTTTAATGATTTTGTGCTATGGTTTGACCACAGCATTAAGAACAAGCAGAAAAATCTGATTTCATAACTAACAAACAGCACTTAGAGCAACATCTTTCTTTAAAAGTATTGCAATTACAGACCTTAGGTCTAAGAACTACATCACCATTGCTCAGGTAAAAGAGGCAGATACGTGACAGGTGGAAATCTTTTTCTGTATGGAACTGGGAATTATGTTGAAAAGTAAGCACAAATGTTTGCTAAAAGAAACTTTAATGACTTATCATAGCTCACAACCAACTATTGAAAAGTTCAAATACAGTTGTACTTTTTTAGTAGATTGCTTTATAATAAAAATGAACTAAATGCTGTAAATAGTATTGTACATATTTTAAAATAGCCTTAAACTAGACAAGTATACAAGTAGCATGATTTTTGAAAGCTATGAAATGAAAAATAGCAACATACCAACAAGCACATTCAAATGAACCAGTATCATTAACAGTCAAGTTTAAGCCTCAATTCGTCCTGTAGAAAGGAAGCAATGATGTGGTCACAAATTTCAGTACCTCTGAGTCTAGAACATTCTCATGCTCAACAGTTCTCCCACAAGGTTGAACCTGGGGGTAGGAGCTTTGTTTCTGACAGTAACGAGCCTCAGTTCTTAATGCTGAATCCCAAGGGGGGCACCCTACAGTATATGATGGAACCAACACACGGGATCCACAACACCACGAGTGTCACCTTTTCACGGCCCTTTCAGACAGATCCTAAAAGGGCTGACTTTTAATCCATTCAGCATTAGGAGTTGCCTTGTAGAGTCCATTTCAGTTTAAGGATAATCGGTTGTTTGTTTCTTGGATGTTAGGGGTATGAGTCTATTGTGATTTTCAAAGAACATACACCATGGGGCAACTAAAAACTTTGGAATTTATTAGACTCCACTTTTGTGGCAGAATAAGCTGATAATATGGGTCAGACGGGCAAAATTCCACGAACTGCTCTTATGGGACAACACTCGAAAGGATACCCACACCCAAGATTCAACCGTGGTTTTAATGAAGACGGTGTTACACACTTCTCTCGTTCTTTTTCTTTTTAAAATTAGGGTATTTGAAGATAAATGCAGAGGTCACACTCAGACACTAAAAACTAAGCTGGAAGAGAGATGTAACAATATACTATTCAAAATGTAATTTCTAACTGATGGCAAAACCGAGTTTGCTTTTCGGGTCAGGATTATGATGGGACATGCGTGGGAATGGATGAGAGGTCCTCACTTGGCTGGCTGGCAGCCACGTCTCTTCTAGTGCTAACCCATAACCGAACGCTTTTTCTAAGAACAGGGTCTTCTTGTAAGTGGGTGTTTTTCCTGAGGTATTTCCCTACAATCTCTACTGTTACTTCATTGGCTCCACAGCTGCAGTTTGTAAAACAAAAAGGCACAGAGAGACTTGGACACAGATGGTCACAGATGCCTCTGGAGCTGAACAGAGTCCTCTGCTGCAGGCTGACTGACTTACTCCTCTGACACAGTTTCTGCAATTTGACAACAAAAATGTGCACTTTTCACTAAGGCTGACACCTTCGTGATGCTACAGCAGGAGATAGATGCAGGAGGTTACAAAGCAAGTTGAAAAACAACATTTTTCTGACTCAAATATAACTAACACTGGTCCAGCTGAGCATTACTAAAATGATTCAAATAAGAAGCGTCTAGTGGCAACCAAAAAGCTGTGGGATTTTTTAAAAAGTATTTTCTTTAAAGTGTTTTCACAGCAAAGATGCAACTTTCCATTGCTATATATACGCTGGTCATAAACTGTTGCTTGTTTGTTCACACTTCTTTCTCGTGTTATAATATTGATATTTAATAGGAAAATAAACTACATAGACTTTAATCTGTGTGCATCCATTTGCAAATTTCCTTACAAAAGAGGACAAAGCACATAGGCATTCACAAATTCTATGCCATTTCTGTTAAAATTGGTATCATCTATACATTATATTACAGTATTAACAACTTGTTCTACCCATTGGGTAGGATATGTGCATAATATATTCAACTTATATACAGCACCTTACAAATAAAAACATAAGAAAAGACAGACAACTGAAAAAAGCACCATTTTAAGTGAGGCACAACAAAGGTGGGAGCATCAGGTGCGGGAGGGGGCGGCTGGGTTCCTGTATCTGCTGAACTCAGAACACGAGGCACCTTCGTTGCTGAAAAACTGACATGCAGATCTCTGACATGATAGGGTCTATATCTACATATATATAATGTGCACGGATAGTGTATATATAATCTCTATAGCTCTAACCCTCTCCCGCATTACACAAAAACAAGGACACGCAGAGGGAAGAAAGAAAAGGATGAAGGAAGACGTTGCTTTCCCAGCAAGACATTCCTACACTCAGACAGCAGCTTCCTAATGCACCCAGTTCGGGAAGAAGCAGCAGCAGCAAGTGACTGTCTAACCCTGGCAGGAACATAAACGTGAACTCTGCGAAGCACACGCGTGCTGGGTAGTAAAGAATGCTGAACTCTTGGTTCCTAAAAAGTACAGACCATTGCAAGGCTAAGAGTGCTTTCCATTGTCTGTTCACATCTCTGATCTGTGGAGGTGCTGGCAGCTGGCGGTGGTGGAACTGGTGAACAGTAAGCCACGCAGCTGCTGAGAACTGGCATTTAGGATCTGGGCTGGAAGCAACATTTAATTTGTGACTTTCCTCGCACCAAGAAGGGGAGGTTTTCCCTTTGCCCATCTGTCATTCAATTGTCCTTTCACCTCAGTAGGTCCGTGTGAGCAGGAGAGCAGAGGGCAGGCTGTGGGGCATGTTCATGGCATGAAGCCTTGGCTGCAAGCACTGGCTTTAATCACTTAAGCAAGAAACGCAGAAGTTAACAGAAACCAAGTATCTTTCCCAGTTTTTTCTCTCATACACGGCTGAGCTTTGGAAATTAAAAAAAAATGAATGGTACACAAAGTTAATGTTGCCATTCTAAGTAGCAGAATTCAAAAAGCGAGCAGTGCAGCAAGCCCCGAGATGGGGGCGCATCCAGTCAGGGCTGCGTGGGCGGCCGGGCTCCCCGCGGCCACAGCAGAACGTCTCTGAGCCTGCGAGTGACCAACGCCACCAGCCGGTCCTTTGAGGGAGGGCCTGGGGCCGGGTGCTGTGTGTCTCTGTGCTAGCGACCAGTACCTGGCCCGAGGACGTATTTGAAGCGCTGTGCACCAGAGCCTTCCTAAAAAGAAGAGCCACTGGATGGGAGATGATAGAGGATGGCCCCTGTCAGAGACGGGAACTGTTGGTGCAGAGAGGAAGGCAGGGATTTGGATGAATTCTTCTAGGTCAGAGCAGCTTTCTAAAAGTGCTTCCTTTTGAGCCTTTCTCATTCTTACGAAGATGAAATAAAGGTGAAAGAGATCAGACGGAGATATATGTAGAAGTTCAGGAAGTCCTTGCCTGGGTACAAAATTCCTCTGCTGGTGTCAGGAGGCCTCCCCCATTTACTTGTGGCCCCTATTTCCTGCCTCATAAGTTTGAGCCAACATAGTGAATGGAAATGCGTCTGCATGATAAATCGTTTGAAAGTTCTCCTCTGCTCTGTTGGGATTTCTTGTGGCTTGGGTGTGTGTCCCTGTGTGTATGTGGTGGGGAGGGTGAGGACATGCTTGTCAAGCTTCTGTATTAGTAAATTTTGGACACCAAAAAGAGATCAACTATTGGAATACATAATTCGTTTCATGAAATCTCTTTTCCATTAAGGATTGCTTCAGTATTTAAAAAGAATGCTAGAGCTTGTGAAAAAGCAAATATATGCTGGAAGATTGTGTTCTTATAGATGGGAATCAAGATGCCTTGGGTCTGCTACACCTGGAACAAGGGACAAAAGTCAGCGGTATGCCCAGCAGTGTTCACTCCCACCAGATGTTCTTCCTAACAATGCAATCCTCACTTTGCTGGAATAATCTGAGATTATAAACCTGTCATTGATTGCCTAAATCAGCGGTTACTAAACTGGACCCGTGGGTTCTACAAGCTAAAAGAAGGGTTCTTGAAAGAACAATAGGCCCCACTGTGTAAGCTGTATCACCACAATCGCCACTCTTTCAACACCACGCTAGCCATGAGGCAACACGGTATGAACAGGTCAGCCACAACCTTCAAAAGAGCTACTGATCCAAATCACCTTTGCCTTGTGCTGAAGGGAAATTGACTATTATTTCATGTTATGATCTCGGCTTTTAAACTAATTCATTACAGAGCCCCAGCCTCGAAGACCTTTCAAAGTCATGGTTTGATATATATGTCTTTAAATAATGATTTAACAAAGGCAGTTCTCTAGGGTGGTTGAATGGGAGGAGCCTCTTTCTTGAAAGATGATTGAAGGTATCTGAATTACATAATTATCTCACCCACACTGTGGACATGTGCAAAACACTCATTACTCACAGTTACCAAGGAATTCACAAGTCTCGTCTCTGAGCCCCTTCGAGGCAGGTGGAGAAGGACGGACTGTGAAGCCATTTGGGAGCTGGAGCTGTGAACTGCGTCCCCTGCTTCCCCAAACCTGCGAGTGAGAACTGGAATGATGGGATCACTCACCTCGCCCCCGCGTCTGTGGACACACCTGACCGAGAATCCACTGCAAGTCCCTGCCAGCAGGGCCCGCTGGAAACACGGGCTCCTCATCTTCGCCTGACAGAGGAAGAGAGGCTCATCTGGGGAGCCAGAGAACCTTCAGGGCGTCTCCAGGGTTGGGGAAGGTCCTCTCTGGCCCCCAGCCAATCCCTGCCCTGAGAGCTGGTTTCTCTCCAGCAGACCCTTCCAAGTGTCACTGGAACAAGACTGAGTCCAGTCTCAGAACCTCCACGGTGACTCTCAACTGTATATACTTCCACACAGGGTTGTAGGCAGGAGCTGACAACTGGTGCCCTTGTTTTTCCTCTCTCCTTTTAAGAGTTGGACTAGTTCTGTGGATGTTACTGTGCAAAAAGGATGAATGTAATGGAAATTCTAATCCTCAAAACAAACAAAAACCGTGGCCTACCTATAGCGGTAAGAAGCAGAAGGGAACAGACAAGGGTCAGACAACCCTTGGGGTTTGGAACAGTCTCCAGTGACAGCACAGCCACCGCACCGAGGGGCTCACCTGCGAGATCCACAGACAGACACAGACACACACACGCGGATTCGACTTTAAAGCTGCATAGATGGGAGTCACGGAATCATCATTCCAGCTCATCGTGTTACGTGAAGAGGCCACAGGCCCACCCTCCACACGGCAGGCAAGCCCTTCTCCGTGCGCAGTGGCTGCTAAACGTGTTGGCTGCTGCTCTTACAAGAGCCAGTGCTTACATCTGCAGAAGAAAGTTATTTTTTTAATTGTACATAAGAATGAATATTTGTGAATATCAGGAATATTAAAACTAACAATATTTAAAATTAGTTTTCTAGTTGCATTTTAACTGCATGTTGTGCTTTTTACCCGGCGCTCTTCAGTCACTTGCCCCCTCCACTGTTCTCTGAGGGTCCAGTTCCTGCCTTCAGTGCAAAGCCTGGCCTGGGGAAGGGTTTGGTAGAATCCTGCAGGAATTTGGGTGTGTTCTGAGCACTGCATTCCTTTGAGAATGTGCTAATACTAGTGACACACAATGGCTTATTACCATGATCAGCAACTTGGCATTCTTCCGTCATTTCTAGAGGCTCCCAAAGCATAAGAAACCACCACCCACACCACTCCCACACGAAGTTCTCGGTAGGCAGGATGTGGGGTGGCTGCTGGGAGCCTCCTGTGAACTGAGCAGCCCTGCAGAACTGAACTAAGCTGTCGAGGCAATGGAATATACTGAGGAGTCACATATTTCAACAGTATGCAGAATAACCACCTTGCATTTTAAACAATTTATTGCATAAAATAAGGTATGTATTTGAATATATTTCATGCTATAGTGAAAAAATCTAAATCACTGGAGAAATTGCACTGCTGGAGGATGAGAGCAGCACTGCATGATACTGGATCCATAAACGCATGTGTTCATTTTCTCATAAAATATGCAGCCTAAGATTAGCAGAGTAACTCAAAACAACAAGTCAGAAATGCTGGAACTTAATCTTCCCTGTCTTCCACCCAAGTGTCTCCAAAAGCTTCAGCAATGCACTGCTGTTTGATGCAAACTCCTGCAACAATGATGACTTTTTTGATTTACGTAAGTTGGTAAAATGTTAGGCTACATCCCCAAATATCTTTTCTTGGGTGATTCTGGGGACCACTCCAGGATATTCCTTGGGCCTGATTACAATCCACAGGTGAAAAGACAACATACAGAACTTCACGCAAAACAGTTCCCTCGTAAATATTTTCAACATTAAGATAGTGCAACTTTGAAAACACATCATCACAACACAAAGGCGCTCCTTGCACGCATCTGACTTCTCCACTTTATACCTTGGCACACAAAACAGGAATTTTGATTCATATTTTTAAAACAACATAAAACTTCCACGCCTTAGGAGAAAAAGCAAACTGGCTGGTTCTTCCTCACAATAATATATAATAATGCTTCCTTCTTTACTCACTTAATTATAAAACAGGCCATTCTGGCCTCATGTATCTGCAAAGTCTGCTTTCACAATTAAATAAATCACATACCTCTGTGGGTTTTATTTCATGATCTCTTCAAAGCATCCCTTTCTCTTTTCCCCTGCCCACACCCCCGTCCCAACCCCTGTCCCCAAATAAACACTGTTTGCGGTCAAACCAGACGGAAGTTTGTATCATTTCAGTCTAGTTTGCATGCAATTCCCCTAGAAGGAATCAGAAACAAAGACCGTGTTTGCTCATTTGGTTTTACTTATTTGTACCATGTAAAACTGAACAACACTGCGCAGGGGGCCCGGCGGCCGCCCTCCTCGGTTTCTTCCTCCAGCTGAAGTGCAGGTTGGAGGGAGTCAGACCAGGTTCCCAGGCTTCCTGTCTTTGCCTTTGATGGGTACTATTGTGCTCTCTGCGTTGTTCTGCTGAAACTGCAGTCTGCTGCCCCTGTGTGCGTTGCTGCGCTGGTGATGGAGGAAAGAGGCGCCGGGGTGGTGGCCCATCACCTCGCTGTACGTCGGGGGCGGCCCCTCCATCCTCCCGTTACTGCTGCAGGTGGTTGCACTGATGCCCGAGTTGCTGCTGGGTGGGCACGGGCCCCCGCTGTACATCGCAATGTCTATCAAATCACTGTCAAATATGGTTCGGTTGGGCGGGGCCCTCACGGACTCTCGGTTGAGTTCCATCTGCTGTTCAGGGTCCCGGAGCTGCAGGGTGCAGGGCCCCTGGTAAGGAGGTGGCTCTTCACCGTCGGACAGGGAGATGGTGGGAGGAAGATCGATCTCGTGCTGCACATAGGGGTAGGTGGGCTGGAAGCGGCTGAAGCGATCCCTCTGGATGAAGGAGGGCGCTGTGAACCTGTCCCTGGACCGCGGGGCATGCATGATCTGGAAGGAAAGGAGGAGAGGCCTGAAGACGGTTTGGGCGCAATGATGACCATAAACGTGTCAGAACCAAGGAAAGTCACGCTTGGTCTGTTCCTACCAGTCTGAACACCCTCTCCCAGGAAAAAAACAGGAAAATCCAATTCCAGAAAAAAAGCTTGCTTTTCTGATTCCTTGTGACAGACCACTCACCTTGCCAGATCCTAGGGCATCCGGGAGGGCTGAGCAATGGAGAGCTGTGGGTAACTGAAAGCTCGGGCTCCTGGCAGTTACTGTGCGTGCTACGTGTGCATTTTCCCCTTGGACACAGAACACACTAGGAGCGCCAAGAGTCACAGGGCGAACAGCACCGCAGCCTGCACTCGGATCCGGTCACCAGTGACCTTGTCCAGGACTCGGCTTCTCTACAACTTACGAGGACAGGACAAGGCTGCCTCCTTTCTCAGGTCCCTGCCAGCTCTAGAACCTAGAACCTACGATTCAGAAAAGTAAGGAGGGGCTCCCAGTTTTTATTTTTATTTATTTAATGTTCTTTTTTTTTTTTTTTAGACAGGGTCTGGCTCTGTCACCGAGGCTGGAGTGCAGTGGTGCCATCTTGGCTTATTGCAACCTCAACCTTCTGGGCTCAAGCGATTCTCCCACCTCAGCCTCCTGAGTAGCTGGGACTACAGGCGCACCACCATACCTGGCTTGTTGTTTTGAGATGGGGTTTTGTCATGTTGCATAGGCTTGTCTTAACTCCTGAGCTTAAGTGATCCACCCGCCTCAGCTTCCTAAAGTGCTGGGATTATAGTCATGAGCTACTGCGCCAGCCAGGACTCTGGGTAAGCAGAAGTTACAACTTCACACAGTGGTACATGGAGCAGATACAAAGCGCTGGGTCGACTTATTAATTACTTAGAGAAGATTACTGCCCTACCAATTACTTTTTAACAAATCCCCCAATAATGACTGTTTTTCCTTTGTGGCTCCTAGACTTTTCCAGTTATTTGGAATCTGAGTAAAAGTTTCCTGTAGTTCTTTTTAGTCACTGACATGAAAAATGTTTTTACTCAAGTAAATATGATTATCATAATTTATTTTTTCAAAATGAATCCAGGTAGTATATTTCTTACAAAATCTTCTCATTTGTTCTACCATCCCAGTTTATTCTAGGAGATGGCTCTTTTATATACATATATATACACACACGCGCGCGTATATATGTACAGATGTGTGTGTATACATACATGTGTATATACATGCATTTAATATACACACATATCTACACACATACATAGAGATACTGATTTCTCTCACACCATTATTTTTAACTTAAAGGCAAAAAAAAGTTATTTTAAAATCCACATTATTACACTTGGAGATGTGGGAATGAATCATGCTGATATTTATAAACTATGCCCACACTTGCCAAGGCACATTAGTAGAAGCTTATGGGATCATGTAAAGATATGTGATTCTCAAATTGTTTTTGATAAGGAGCTTTAGACTAGCACGAATCATCCCTGGAAGATTCTAGGGGAAGTCCCCTCCCGCTTTTGACCAAAGTGTCAGCCCGCCTGGCGAGGCCCCTCCCCTTCCCCCACGTGGCAGGGACCCCCTCATCCCCACCTGCTGGGGCCCCTTACCTCCGAGGCGCCCGGCCGTGGTGCGGCGCTGTCTGAAGGCCACAGGCACCCTTCCTGGCGGAGGCGAAGGGGAGGAGAGTGGGGAACAAGAAACAGGAAGATCATTAGCCCCGCAGCACCTAAAAACATGAACCACAACTTCTGGAAGGGGGATCTGCATAAAACGTGGAGCGAGACCGGGCGCGGTGGCTCACGCCTGTAATCCCAGCACTTTGGGAGGCCGGGGCGGGCACATCACCCGAGGTCAGGAGTTCGAGACCAGCCTGAGCAACACGGTGAAACCCCGTCTCTACTAAAAATACAAAAATAAGCCGTGCCTGTGGTCCCAGCTCCTCGGGAGGCTGAGGCAGGAGAATGGCGGGAACCCGGGGGCGGAGGTCGCGGTGAGCTGAGATGGCGCCGCTCACTCCAGCCTGGGCCACAGAGTGTGTCAAAAAAACAAAAACAAAAAAATGGATAAACAAACACACAAAAAAACGTCCAGCGAGAAAGAGCTGGTCCCGTGTCGGATCTCATGTCCACATGCAGGGCTGGGAACAAAAGGAAACGCGGAAACGCGACCTCCTGGCCAGATGAGATGTGAGTGGAAACGGCTCGCGCTCCACCCCTGCGGGCTTGAAATACGCTCCAGAC